TCTGACAGTGGTTAACATGCCGAAATGGACAAAGATGTCTTGCCCTAGCTACCGGAAGGTGGATGGCATATAACTATATGAAGGGAGAAAAAAAGGAAAAGGCTCTGATTTAATGTTTGTTTTTTACCTTGATGCTGTGATATGTGATGATGACTGTGTATATGTGAAGTTCCTACTGAATCAAAACCATTTGTACCATGATTGAGTCAAAATTTTAAATTGTAGGAACCTTGTTGTTTTTTTCGGCCCGCCTTGTTTTTTTTTCGCCCGGTCGCATTAGATTCGGAATCTGCGGAGGATGTCATCCATAAATTTACTTGCTGTGGCCTAATACAAAATCTTGCCTTTTCAATATCCTGTAAGTTGGTGCTGAAGTAGAGCCCAGCAAAGGTTGTGCAGAAGACTAATAACGCCATGAAAACAGCTGCTATTACAATACCGCTCAGCCGGCGGTAAGTGCACCATGATAGCAATACTGTATAACATGTAGAAAAATTAATAAAGAAAGAAAGACTGAGGCAGCTTTTTTATTGTTTTTCCATGAAAACAATCTTTTATTATATATTTCGTTAGAGGGCATTTAACATTTATAAATATCAGAGCTGAAAATGTTTAAGGGAAATGATAGGAAACCGAGGGTTTTCAAAAAAAGGAACATTTACATTTTTGGTCAAACGTTACATAAAATTCTCTCATGTAAACATTGATATATATGAGGGACTTGCAGGACACTTATATTTGATGAATAGACAGGACCTTAACCCTATCTAGACCGGGGGGGGGGTTAAGGTGCCCGCGGCAACTTTGATGTCATCTAGCGTCTGAACGGCTAAAGCTAGAACCGCCAAATTTGGTGACTTTTCCTAAAATATTGTTGGCAACAAATCTGTATCAGTGGAATAAGATTATGATTTTTCTTGTTGCCATGGCAACGGGTTTCTGACAGGCATTTTTTGCCAAATTTAATTATTTCCATTTAAACAACAGAATTTTATGGGTTTTATGTCAAGTTACACATTGTTTCTAACATTAATAACATCACATATAATTATATGTAAATTTTATCATTAAAAATGCATAATTTATGCTAATTTGATGACGTCATTGGCCAAAATCCAAGATGGCGGACCATATCATTAGATCAGGTAAATGCAGCTTATTTTCCTTAAAATTTCATCAATACTCCCATTTTTTTACAAAAAAGGTTCATATGAATGTCTTTAGTCTGTTTACAATGTATTTTAGGCTTCATCCTGTTTAGTTTTCAGGGAATAACCTATCTAGACGGTTTTGGCCAATAAAATCACATTAATGACGTCATAATGACGTCATATTACGTCACAACGACATAAAAATTGTACGTATGATAAATTTTTACTAGTACATCATCCTCTGAAAATTTGGTGGTCCTACGATATACCGTTCTTGAGTTCTGAGGGGGGGGGCGAATGAGCCCCCCCCCCGGTCCCACCAAGCCCAAAAAAGCCCGGTCTAGATAGGGTTAAGAATGTGAGGGGAAAAAATCAAGCAAATCTCAGACTTCCTACTGAAATGAGACATTTGAAACATAAAAAGAAACGGAAAATCTATAATCTCAACACAAAAGCCTTCAACGATGTTAAATGTAAAATAATCTTACCGCAGGTGGTTTCTCGTCGGCGATCGTTTGACACGTACATCGGATTTGGAATCAAAGCGTTGCGAGTTCTCGTCTGATTCGGAGGTGTACAGCTTGCTGAATGCCCGCTTGTTGGTATCGCACTGGTACTTTGGACAAAACCCGACCTGTAAGCTGTGGGTATGTTATCATTCCTACCATCAGCAACAGCGCCATGGTGTGGAAGTGTACATGTCTGGGTGCTACTGCAGGCATCATTGTTCGCTAACCCAGAGGCTGCTTCATTTGGCTCGTTGATCTGGTTAGGGTTAGCGGTACTTTGGCCGTAGTCCTGACTAGTGTTTGGCGCATACATCGGACTCGGGTCCTGTGTGTCTTGCTGGTACAACATGTACATTGGATTTAGGCTCATGGCATTTTGTGTATAGACAAGGTTCGGGTTTCTAGTGTCTTGCTCGCAACTCGGATTTTGATAAAGTCCACCCGGAGGATGCCGAATGTCACGGATGTTACTATCATCCCCAACACAGGCTGAAGTGTGTACGCTGTTCTCTGTTGCGTTGTAACTCCTTGACAAGGTGGTTGTGATGCAATTGTCATTGCCTAAAGCTGTTTTTGGTTTCGTCTCTTCCGAATCAGCCTCACAAACCTTCATTATATCCTGACAAATGTCTACAAAACCGTCCGGATTGCCAGCGGAATCTATCTTGTCTGCTTGTCCGTTTTCATCATCGGCATCGGATACCACAGACAGGTTGTCATCATAATGATAATCGTAACCTTCCTCGTAGCTACAGTTGATCCAGAAATGTCCAACCTCGTCAGCTTGTGTGAAGGAAGCTTCCCGTGAGCCGATATCCAGACTGGCTGGCATCATATTGGCTTCGGAGAAATCGTCCATGCTGAACGATGTAGGATGAGCTATAGAGTAGAGGGTTGAGGTTTTCGTCCGTGGGGCCCACAGCTCTTGACGATGTTGCGACTGTTCTTGGTCTGATTTATGGAGGCAGTTTTACTGTGCTGGACAGTTTGGCTGTCATATGTAAAAGTTGGCCTTTTGTTCGGTTTCTGTTTGCAGGAAAGGCTTAATCTGCTCTGAGGTAGATTAGGCTCTCCCACGTCTTTGTGTGCTTTTTTCTTGATTGCATTTGCACAACAATAAATGTCGGTCTGCACCGCACTCTGATAGATATGAACAATGGATATGGAGTAGAAAATGTCGTCTGTTTTGTGCGTGTGTGTTATGTTTGAACGAAGCTTCCCTTGAGCCCATATCAAGCCTGGCTGGCATCATATTGGCTTCGGGGAAATCGTCCATGGAGAACGATGTAGGACGATTTAGAGTAGTCTCAGGGTTGAGTTTTTCGTCTGTTAGAGTTCCACATCTCTTGACGAAGTGGCGACTGCTTGCTTGTGGTTCTGATGTTACCCGGCTATATAGTGGTCTTAGAGAGTCTGATGTATACCTGAGATCTATTCCTATGTTTGGTTTGTGTTTGCCGACTAGGCTTAGTTTGCTCTGAAGAAGTTGTTTTTGACATACGGTACAGAGTCAAAGGATCGGGTTAGATTAGTCTTCCCGGGCCTGATTCAATGTGTGTTCTGGATTACATTGTGTCGGATGAAACCGTGCTTCATGTTCAACATTTTGATAAAAACAGTGGATATGGAGCCGAAAAGGAAATCTTTTTTTCGGCATAAACCCCGACTGCAAGGCGAGCTTACCAGGGATACAGCCAACACTGGAGATTGTCTGGGGGAATTTTGTAACGTTTGCTCTTGATATTGCATTTTTATTGTCGGCGAAATATTCGCGACAATAAGTGAAGCTGATCTGTTTACTCTTACGTTGCAAGTTATTTGCTCGCCTAAAATCATTGTTAAGCATTGTTCATTGAAGAATTGACTACGATGTCCAAGGCCAGAAATCACAAAGAGCATCCGACCATCTCCACCAAACATCTTAAGACACCAAACAAAAAAACATCAAATTAATATATATTTTTAAGAACAAGACTGTTTAATACAATATTAAGGTCTGCTAAGACTTATTTGTCTACAGCAACAAAATGACGACATTAACATGTAATATGTATATAAAATCAAACAGCCACGTGGACAATATCCAGCTTGCATGTGAGATCAGGAAGCTTCAGCATACCTTTTATAGGAGTTACATAAAAACAGACGACCTTTTCGGAATATATGGCGGCTCCATACCCACTGTTATTCAAAGTGTTGAAGGCACAAAGTGAGGTGCACCCGACATGTATTGTAATGAAATGCAATCAAGAAACAACACACAAAATCATGGAAAGCCTAATCTGCTTAAATCCTTAGATTCCACTAAAACATTTTTGGGTCAAACTAAGCCTAGTCGGCAAACACAAACCAAACATAATGCAACCTCTTACCTAAGACAGCCTTAAAGGTATAAACACTACATTTCTACATCACTACATCAAAACCAGGCCTGCAGGCGCCATATCGTCAACAACTATATTTAAGTGAGAAGGTTCTATGCTGTAAAATTTATAGTAGGGTGCATGCAAGCAAGTTTAAAAACACATTTAAAGTACCTTAAAAAATGAAGAACATTAATTTGCAACGAAGATAATTATAGGTTAAAAAACTAAACAATAAAAAACGTCCAATGCAGTAACAAACAAGCTGCTAGGCGTCCCAAAATATACAAATTTGCCCCCTTCTCTAGCAGCTTTCCTCTAAAAACTGCTTTCTGCTGCAAACCTAACACCCACCAGGACGCCCATTATGTTATCGAACTTGACCTACATCTATCCTGTCCCTACCTTACCAATAGATATCATTAAAAATCATCTGCGTTTCCTTGACTTATGTTGTAAACAAGCGAAAACACAACTATCTGTTGCATCGTAGGTACATGGTAGGGTAACCATTTTTGAACTTTAAACTTTGTTTGTACCTGCTCACCTACCAAATATCATTAAGATCCAACACAATTCTTCGAGATATGCTGCATACATACACCAGGCAAATTCACGAAACTCCACTGCAGTACGATTGGAAAAAAAACGTGGTGGAAATTTTTCAAACTTGAATTACATTTCTACAACAGCTACTCACACGCCAAAAAAAAACAATCCACAAGTACTCGAGTTATGACTTTGACCTTAATACGGAGACACACAACAGCTGCTCCACCAATCTCAAACTGAAAACACACTTTACGAAACCTAAAAGGGAAACAAATGTCTGATATTAACTTTGGCGCAAGTATATGGATAACGTTACATCGATATGTTGAGCTTAACGTATTTTTTAATGATTATATTGTCTTACATAATATATTTTCTGGTACGTCTTTAGTGAGCTACAAATGTAAGGAGATCACGTTCTGAGGTTAGGGCCTCTCTAGACTTTGATACACAGCCGGCCTCAGTTCCTGGTAGTGGCTGTTTGGCTGGGGAGGGAGGGGAGGGGGCACGGCGAGGGGTGCCATGGGATAGGAGTAAGCGTCACTTCCGGTTCCGGATCGCTGGGACGCCGCCCTGCCAGGAGTCCTGACGTCCACATACTCTTCTTCAGCTGAAGACGACCAAAATCAGAATTTTAGAAAGTCTCCATAATAGATCAGCATGAAACCTAAGTCTGTCTGTAATTTACAATTATACAAATAAAAAATTTGCTGGTACAGTCAAATTATCCAATTGTGTAGGAAACAACTTTTATCTAGAACGATTTCTAGTTACACGGGTAAACTGTCAAACAAAAGTTTTAGTTCCCTTGTCTTTGTTTTGCATTGCATGTGCAAGAAGGAAAGAAAACAATTTTACCCATATTTGTAAAAAGTTAAAGTAACAAATATTAAATATGACTATACCTGGGTCAGCATTTTTGCTCTTCAGTGATCGGAAACGCAGAGTCAGGAGTGTAACAGCGACCCCTAGCAGTAGTCCAGCGACAACACCACCGACTGCTGCACCTGCCACAGCTTCGACTCCAAAAGGAGTTCCGCCAAAAGCTGAGAAGTCAAGCATGTGACCAAATTAATCGAAAGAATAACCAATATCCATTTTACTTCTATCTAGAATATTTTGGTAACGTTTGTATTGTATATATGTATGTATGTATGTCAGTAAATATGTTTGGCTGTATGTTTATTTTATAGAAGGAACAAGTGCAGTTGAATTTAGTATTTTGTAGACCTATTGACCTACCTACCTATTAAAAAAAATAATCAGATTTTGGACCTCTGGTGTATTTTTTTTTTGGTACTGCAGCGGAATTTTTTGTTCATGTATCTGGTGTCTCATGTCTCTGATGTGATTACCAAAGAGAACTAATCTCCAAGAAGAGGTTTAGCTTTTATCTTGTTGTGACGTCTTAGTTTTTTTATCGGGATTTTCTTTTGGTGCCAGTGTGTTTTTTACATACCTTCCTCCTCCTCTACGTTACCACTATCGCCATGTCGATCATCATCACCTGCAGAAACGTTTGATCTTTGTAGAAAAATACAATAACCAATTGACGAATCGTCGTTATTAGGTAAACTATTTCCTAACATAATTTGCCTAATGATTATTATTATTATTATTCAAATTATTTCTATCCGTTCCCTGATAGAACTATTCATACTATACTTGTGACACTTGTAATTTAGAATTACATCCGCAGTTATCAATTATGTCATTGGTATACTTTTTATAATTAATTGCTATTGTTTCATTTTGTTAAATGCCAAGAATTTCATATTTGGAAGCTAAGTAAAAGCTAAACATAGTTTATGTCAGAATATCTTTCTTTCCTAAGATGGGGCTATCTTTAGGTTCAGAAGATGATCAACTGATAATTAAAAAACCATGCAAAAAAGGAAAGTATATCATTGAACAATGACAAATGTTAACTTTTCGTTAGTCGTAAATATTAACATCATGTGGTGGAGGTATGAGATCTCGGATGCTGTTTTTTCCTCGCCAGCCATAACAAGTTGTTAGAGGTGGAACAGCTGCCCTACCTGTTCCATTGAGAACTGTGACCACTACAGTCAACTCGTCAGTAGAAAGCTTCCGAGATGTCGTTGTCTCTACAGCTCTAACCTGCAAAGGATGCGAATACTCAGTATCTTAGAAGAATGTCCTTTTATAGAGAACTAAGACTAGGACTAAGAAAGGCGAACTTGCAATACGCAGCCATGCAATGAGCTGCACATTTTCTAAAGACGTCTATTGCTTGTATATAGTTGTTTTCTTTGAAAACAGGCTTATTTAAGAACAAATTTTGAATCAATTTTATGATAACTGAATCCTGCTATTGCGTAAAAAGAGATATTTAGAAAGGGTATTAATTTATGAATGAATGATAATATACTTTACGTCCATAGAACTAAACTTTAGAGATATAACACACGTTTTGAAAGCCGCCCGGCATTCGTTATCAGTGACTAAAAAAAGGTACCATCCATATAATTGCATACGCCTGTAATTATTGTAGCCCAGTTGTATAAATTACCTAAAGAAATAATCTATTTTGATTTATTCAAATTAATCAAACAGTTGCTAACCGTCATGCGGTATTCCTTCTGAGTGTCTATGTCCAACCAGTTGGCATTCACGATGAGGTAACCCGTATCTATGACGTCAAATCTGCCGCTAGTGTCTGTAAGCTCATAGCGTAGGGACCCTTTAGGGACAACATTCTGCAATGCACGAAAGAAGCGAGGACCTTAGGTTATAAAATGTCATAAATTTTTGTAAACATGCATTTCAGACCCTAAATTAGTTACATACGAACATGACAATGTCCACAATTAGCTTCTTTTAATGTAAGAGCTTTAAAAATCTAGGTCCTTGGTTATACAATAGATAATTATGTGTATAATGTTAAATCCGTTACATGCTGCTGACATTATAATACTTTATTTTCCGCACACCCTAACCTAATGTACGCAATCTGTAAGTACGTGACAATTTGCCAGTAAAAATCAGGATCACTTACGTCAGTGAAGTCGTCATCCCTGACCTCTAACAGTAGAGGCGATTCGTCATAGCTGAGGACGATAGCGGCTTGACCTGTGAACTGTCGCACGTAACCTTTGAACCCTGACTCCCCGGTAGAGATAAAGAAGTACGGCTTGTTGACGTCATTATCTTCTACAGAAATCTTCACGTCCGCTGTGGCGTACCGTACAGGATTGTCGTCCTGCTCCGCCTAAACGGGTGGATAGATGAATTATGAATGATTAGATGAATAAAAATCATTGTCATTCGCAAATGTATTTAAACAGCGAGCAGATTATTATTGGACGGTACTTATTGGACTGAGCAGAGCACTTTGGACTAATGCCTCTGACTATTTACAGCTTAGAGGTACATATCCAATCTTTTGTCAAAAACTTCTCTGTTACATAGCGGATCATAATGACCCCCAGTGGGGGTCTTCGCGCTTCGTCAAAAATTGGAAAATCTCAATATTTTAGACAAAAATCTTGAGATCTTATGAGACAATCTTGAGATTTTTCATGACAATCTACAGATCTTTCAGAAAATCTTGAGATGAAAACAAAAGGTCTCAAGATCTTTCCAAGTGTTTTCAGAATACCTTGAGATTTTTCCATAGCATCTCGAGATGCTTTAAAAATATCAAGATTTTTAAAGCAATTTGGAAAAAAAATTGAGATCTTTTAAACAATCTTGATATTTTTAAAGCATCTCGAGATGCTATGGAAAAATCTCAAGATACTTTTAAAACATTTGAAAAGATCTTGAGACCTTTTGTTTTCATCTCAAGATTTTGTGAAAGATGTAGAGATTGTCATAAAAATTGCATGAAGATTGTCTTATAAGATCTCAAGATTCCGAGAAAATATTGAGATCTTTGGAATAAATCTTGAGATTTTTCATTTTTTGATGAAGCGCGAAGACCCCCACTGGGGGTTATTATGATCCACTATGTAACAGAGAAGTTTTTGACAAAAGATTGGATATGTACCTCTAAGCTGTAAACGGTTACAGGCATTAGTCCAAAGTGCTCTGCTCAGTCCAATAATAATCTGCTCGCTGTTATTTATAATTTTTAGATATTCGTCTCTAGTACAGTTTACCTTAGTATTAAAAAATACAAACGATTATATACCTTTATCGTGATGATGAACTCCTCTACTTGCGCCCTTTCCACGGGTTTCTTCAGTGTGATGTTCCCAGTGGGTCCGTCAATGTCAAAGTAGTCCCGGAATTCACTTGGAGAGCCTATCCCAAAATTTGAAAAATAGTGTTTTAATCCAAGCTTCAGTTTGTCGACACAAAAAATATTCTTCAACAAACTAAGAATGTTACGTGGAAACGAGTAGGTAACACATGGAATAACCTTACATATCAAATAGATGTAAATTCAGATTTTTTTTTAATTTAACATCTATCTAATAGTATCTATCTAGTTTCTATCTAATATGTATCTTTCAGTCTACTCATCTATCTGTCCATCTTTGTAGAGAGAGAATCTGGGGAAAGGAAGGAAAGAAAAGAAAGAAAGAAAGAAAGAGAGAGAGGGAAAGAGAATGAAAGATGTATGTATGAAAGATACACAATTTATATGTTTGCTGACAGGAGAAGGTGAAACTCGCGATGCAAAATACCTGCTAAGAAACTGTAAACAATCCCTGGAGGACCCTGGACATCCGTGTCAAGGTCAACAGCATAGATAGGAGCCGGGTTAAAGGTCAGGGGTTGGTTTAGCTGTAATACAATTGTGTTGTTATTGTTTTTATGTAAAAGCCTAGCATAAACATCTCACTTTACACTGACAAATCTATAAATAAATAAAAAAATAAATAAAAACACAGCAGCAAGATTTATTGAATAAATACAACATCAGTACAGTGACTTCCGAAGGGTTTTTAAGTACTATGCATAGTACTTATAAATGGCTGAACCTCGGTACGAATATATGCATATGAATAAATCAACGTAAATACATTATTGAAAAATTTATACGCATCATATTAATTTTATTGTTCCTTGGAGGGGTCGTGATCACCTAGGGTATACGCACGTACGTAATTTGAAAATAAACCGTTTGAGCCATAAACAAACACTAAAACAGATTGAGAGACTCGTCGTTTTGTTTGGAACCTGAGGCTTACAATTTCTCACCTTATGTAAACAAGGCTAAGGCAATAAAAATCTTGCCAAGGCGACGACTGAAATATATATATTATTTCATTTGGTGGAGCTAGCAATCCACATCAAAATAATAAGAAAACCAGACTTAGCTATCTTATAAACACATGCATGTAGTAAAATTTACAGGATGGGTGGAGGAGGTGTGGGGCAATATACCCAGTTCACGTATAGGAGGAATCAGCCGTTCTTCCCCAGCAATATAGATTTTATGATGACACACTTACTCACTTTACTTTGGTAAGTGGGACTTTGGTCGAGTTCCCACTCAAACCAAACTTACAACCATCCTCCACTTTACTCTATCCTCCACCAGAGACTGGATTGTACGTCTGATCTGAAGTTGTTACTCCTAGGACTTTTTTTTACCTATTGTGGGTTCTTAATGGACAGATAATTTATTTTCTCTGTGTGATCTTTTTGAATAAACTCACCCCCACTGGCCTAAATGTTCTTGGGGAGGGAATGTCAGAGACAGCTGTGCTCCCTGAATGTCCATGGTATAGGGAGAAGACAGATGACCAGTAATAAATCATGCCAGGCAACTGGATAGGTGGCACGTGGGCACCCGGTGTAAGTTACCTGCTCGATCCAAAAAGCACATGGCCGAAAGTTACCTCAAAACCAAATCCCTAGGGAATGCATTCTTGCAATTGCTATCGTAGTACTTGCACAAATGCCTCCGCCCCAAAGGCGTCGCCAAAAAACTTACTCGTTCTCTATTCTCCATGACGGAGGACACGTAAGGCGGGCTGCCACGCGGCAGGAACTGCACCGCCTGGTCGTCTCCGTCCGTCACGATGATGGTGACAGTCGTGCTGGAGGACTGCCGGAGGCCTACGTCGGCCGCCAAATCCTAAAAATTCCCAAGGACATCTAATTACTAACATTCTTGTGTATGACACGAAAAAGCATGGAACAAGTTGCAAAATGTTTTAAGCTTTATGTAAAGAAAACCAATCGATACTTTGAGAGAAGAAGAGATTGATTCATACATGTGCGACGACTGGAATCAGATATTTCTTTTCCTCCCCCGGCTGAAATCCTTCGTAGTCCAGAGAACGCTTCAGAACGATGTCACCTGTTGACGGCAATGGGATTTCGAAATTCTCGTTCGGACCCTAAAAAGATATTTGATAAAAATGCAAAAACCTATAAATTAATCAGAAAACAGTTTCTGTGCACTATGTCATTGAAGTCAAGACTGACCATTTTGTTCTACAATGCTAACACTTAAAAAAGCACGCGGTGTGATTGGCCTTGACCATTTTTTTTGTAACCAACAGAGAGTACTCAATGGCTGTTTCCTGTGAGCTATAACTGTTAAAACTAAGATTAGTTTATACCTCGATCTGATATGACACCCTCCCATTCTCATTGCTATCTGGGTCTTCAGCTGTCAATCTGCGGAAAATGGTGGATCCTACAGGTGTGAGCTAGAGAGAAGATATACAAATATTATCCATCTATTCTATCGTATTTTATTTCATTTACCATTGGTTAAACTACCATGTCCGCAGTGCTTATTATAATTAGTAAACTACGAACATGTCATATGCTAGATTTTATACAGATGCCTAACAGTTTTCGCATACAAGATCAATTTCAACACTTACTCAAGTTCACAGGAATGGGAAAATTAAAATACAGGGCCATTAAAATATAACAAAAGAGAAAGACACAGGTCTGTGTCACAATTCGGGGAACAGTGGTTTACCATGATAGGACCAGTACCAGGCACTATGTCTGTACTTTACACTTTGTCTAACTTTTAAGTTTCATACACAGTTACCCGTTCAATACAAAATATACGAAAGGACTTAATCTCCAAGAATGATGTTCCGGTTACAGTATTAAATATGCAAGGCAGTATTCATTGTCCAGTATCCATCTGTTAGGTGGCAAATGAATACAGTCTGGCAAATGCATACGGATACTGCCTGGCCAATTTGATACTAAAAACAAGTCCTCGGTTGGGTTAAGGCGGCCTAGGCTGATATTCATGTTCGAGTTCCGCCGTGTGTCTGCACGATTGCCACAAACATGTTTCGAACCCGAATCATGTTCCACCATGTTCGATATGACGTCATTCGAATAGAACGTGTGTTCGAATTCGGGGTTACCGGCGGTCATTTGTATGTTTCCCCTGTAAACCCGCGTTGTTACGCATTTTATTCACGGAGTATGACTTAAACGGCTTTACGCCCAGCTGAAAACAACATAATTCATCTTTAGAGTAATCCATGTTTACGTATTATCACTTTTTTATCAAAATTGTCCGAGGCTATTTTGCATATAAGTCGAAATTTTTTAACTGTGGCGATTATTTAACAAAAAATGACAGAAAAATAGCCGTTTCTGTCGTTTTTGGCCCAAAAAAACAATGTAACTGTCATTTAAAACAAAATAGCCTCGGACAAAAATAATAAATAGGGGGTTGGCTTTCTACTTGCAAAATATCATGATGAAAGGTGTTGTTACCGCTTGGGCGTAAAGCCATGAAGTAAACAGCTTTTTTTTAACCAAAATGTTGATTTCTAACCCAAAAATTCAGAAGTAGTAAAAACAAAATAACCTTTATTCAATGTGTTTCAAGTACTACTAGAACTGTGTGAAGTTAAGTTGTGATGCGACCAAGCTATCAAAAGTTACAGCCATATGTATGAAATACTAATTATAGTTGGCCATAGGCTGCCTTAACCCAACCGAGTCGGTAACTGCCCCCAACCCACCCTTACATGTATGGTGATACAGATATATTTTACGTAAACGACACGCACACAAAACTTAAGGCGGCGCGCGCACACCACTGAGTTCACATACCAGTACCATTTGAACAGTCTAGATCCTGACACAAAGGTCACTTTCGAGCCCTTGCAAAACAAGTCCTCCCTTTCCTGGACACACTCACTGTCATACAAGAAGACGGTTCACTCCAGGTAAGATATACAAAAAGAAAATTCGGGGTAAGTCCCAGTTCTTTGGAGTTAGTGTTGGAAGTTATGTGCTATTCTTTACCTCTATGACCTCCTGGATATATGGCTCGCCGATAAATGTTGGCTCGTTGTCATTCAGGTCCAGAATTGTTACTATGATACTGTTGTCCAGCTGTAGGGAAGTCACAATGACAACGCGTGATGATAAAGTGAACTTTGCAACACCAATTTAAACGCTAATGTGGGATTAAAGTATTGTTTTTGATGGCGCTGGTTTAGTAGGGGTGTTTGTCCTCAGTGGTAAGAAAGACAGTGTTATCACTAGTCGAGCAAGTTAAGTCATGCAAGCATATGACAGTATATACTAACTTGTCTTCCCTGAAAAAATGTGGTACATACAAGTATTCCAATCTTCGTTCATCCAAATAAATTATTCTTATAATGTTAAGATAAACAAAAAGAACTATAGAACAAAGAGTACTTACCGTTGCATTTGTTGCTATATCCTTGCACCTAATAACAAATCTAAGATCACGAATGCCCGAGGCCCCCTGTCAAAACACAAACAACCGTATTGATAAAAGCATCCTCTACAACACGGTTAACATTAAATGATAAAGAAAAGCTTAAAATTCATGTTAGATTCTGTAATTTCAATATTAAGTATAATATAATATATCTATGAAGTCTGGATCTTAATCAGCTACAAGGTACAGAGAACGGGTGTATTGAACACGGGTGTATTGATAAGTTATCACGTACATCTCTGTCTAAAACTCTCCCATTGAGCGAGAGCCTGAGCTGTTGAAGTTCCTCTATCAGCAGGCCCCAGTCCTTGTCAGCGGAGTCCCGCAGAGTCAGTTCGATAGTCCGGTCAGGTCCGAATGCCCTCCCGGCAAATGACATGTTCGCCACAATAGTTGTGTCTAAGAGAAGCGAAGCGTCCATATAGGGCAGATACCAACGTTAAGTTAAAGGCTTGACATACCTTTAACATTCTGGTCGTACATGAACGGCTCGAGGAGAGACCTTGTCGGGACATTAACAAGGGGAACACTTCGCAAAGCAATTGAACGTCAGCCCTTTTCGTGGCGGTTCTATGTATATTTTTGTATGTTGACACGTTGCTGTGTTAAATTTGGATTTATCTTGTGATTTACGATAATGAAAATGGACAATATTTGGAGTTGGAATGCGGTCAGAGTTAGTTTAATATTTCATAACTTTCGAACGACGGAAGTTAAAGTAACAAAACAAGAAAGTCTTACTATCCGGGCTGTTCTCCATGAGAGCCTGGAACAATATCCTGTTCTGGAAGACAGGACTCTCGCATGGGTCTTGGCCTTTATTAAAAAGAGCGTATCAGGTTTATTAGTTGTAGAATAATGACAAAAAGGTAGGGCTGAGAGCACATTTCTATAGAGAAGGAACACTTCGCATTATTTCAGCCTAATTTCCTGTATATCATAGAATGATGTAAGAAACAAGAACTGTACGAAAATTCATTTGCTTCATGGTAAACAAAATCTCTCTCTCTCTCTCTTTCTTGCAAAAAGTAGTAATTTTGGCCTAAAACAATGGAATTCTCTCTTTTATGTTGATTTACGCATGATTTCTAATGTAAATAACATCTTATATAATTCTATGTAATTTCTATCAATACGTATGCAAAATTTATGCTAACTTGATAATGTCATTCGTCAAAATCAAAGATGTCGGACCATGTCATTAGATCAGGTAAAATCAAAAACACTTTATGTTAAACCTGTGTAAGTTGTATACCATTAAGTTTTGCAAGAAATATGGTTGTAGGCAATAAATTACCTGAATGACTTTTACGTCTTAATGATATCAACATTCCTGATATAATTGATTATTACTAGTACACCATCTTCTGCAAATTTGGTGGCTATACGATATACCGTTCTCGAGTCCCCTCCCCCCTCCCAAAGATCCCCCAAAAGCCCAGTCTAGATAGGGTTAAGTATTAGAAAATGCTTTTTACAAACAAAACGGTTACTATACCGTGCTGTACAGTGCCTTTCGGGGGGTAATGTTGTCAAAACATTACGCCGTATGATTTCATTTAAAGTCTTGAAACACATCTGTCAGCCATGTTTGTTTACAGTTTGATATGAATCTGTTTTTTGAAAGCTGTTTTGTTTGGTCAACAATATGTATCAGAAATGTGAGTAATGGAGGAAAATTATTGTTGGAGTAAATGACTATCACAAATGTTTTTTAATTATTTTTTTTAAAATCATACATATTGCAGCCTTTAGAAAACATACAGATAATATTATGCAACATTATTTAAACGGAAAGATTTGGTGTATACTGACTGTCTCGTTAAACAAAACATGGGAGTGGTTGTCTTCATAACTGCTTTATTATTTTTCGAAGGCACTGGGTTAGCGTTAGGCCCTGGTTCTTCCACGCCTAATTTGCGGAGTGCCGGTAACTCGATAGCCTCCCATACAATAAAACGTTTCCCCCACCAAACATCCACAACAAAAATCTGACATCTGTGTGATCTATAGCAATGCTAGGGCAAAACCAGTCGTAAGAATAATACTTGGTGACTCAGTGGCAAGAGCCCTGATGTATTCCAAATCGTGTTATTTAAGTTTTGGTACGATTTGGAAAACAGCAGGCATTTCAATTCCATTCTAAAACATGTCTTGGATCGCACCACGTTTTGGAACATGGTTGCATTCCAAATCATAGTAAAATGTTTTAAATGGAATGCATGCGCATAATGCATCAAGCTCCGCGATTAGAACTACAATTTCGTGTAAAGAAAACCAACAAGAGTCAGTCTCTCGTGAGAACCTGTTTCAGGTAAAGGTCTGGGATGAGGGGGGGGACGCATTTTGTTGCACCGTCAGCACAGCAGGAGACAAAATAAACAAAATTCCTGGCGGGATTTTACTGTCTTATTATCTTTTAGATAGTAATATATCAAGTAAGATATCACTAGTTTTAATATAAAATCCTTTAAGGTAACAAACGGTTAGGAAGAAACGGGGGAAATTGTGCATTTACCAATTGATTGCCTTAACACCTCGGCATAGAACAGTCCCAATAGAAGGTTTACTTCAAGAGTATCATATTTAACGTAAAACGGCTTTCATTTAGAATCTAACGTACCTGTTGAGAGCTGGACCAGGCACAGGCAGACTGCTACAAAGACCGCCGCCGCCATGTCATAGTTAAAGACAGCCTTTTCGACAAATTCTGTTTCGCTCGGCTACGCGTACCGCGACTGGTGATTTAACATGATAGTGCAAGAGTCCCCTTTGAATTAGGACATTTGTTAGGCCGGGGTCAAATGTCGCCTGGATTCTGTTACAACCCAGTAGTACTGTGAGTCGGCTGCACATGTTCACATGTTCCCCAGCAAAGCATCAGATAAAAGTGTTTTCTTGGAAAACGAGCTGGCAAACTTGACCTGATTTTCACATGTGCTCTGTAGGCTGTATCCTAAATCTAAACATATTGAGTCATTGCACGAGAAAACCAGGCAGAGGTCGGAAGATGGGGGTCGGCCAAATCGGCTTATACTTTGTATGTGAGATAGCCTGCTATGGAGGCTAAGTCTTTCCGTCAGGTGGCAATGTTACACTACACTGTTTACCCTGAAACGCAACACCAGTTCCCTAAGCAAAGCGCTTTTACTACACAATAATGGCGGCGGGTCACAGCTACACTGCGCTTTACGTCCTCGACCTCGCTAATCCCATACACGCAATGCAATAGCTTGCGGTATATTAAATGTTGCTTCAGTCAACAAGCCTCTCTGGCTCGAAGACGTCTGCACCACATGAGGAAGTAACATTTCCAGTTAGCAAAATGCCACACGGCACACTTTGAACCACCTCTCAGTGCAGTTAGACTGTACTACGTTTAGGGGAGACTCAGTTCTTTGCGGTAGATCGAGAGATCGCCACTGACAACATGAAGAGAGAGTGTCCGTGCGCTGTTTACTGTGTCGTCCTACTTGTTCTTGTTGTGGTTGTTGGGAACACCTTGGCTCTGACTGGGTTAGTAGTTCATTCCAGGTTTGGCGGAGTGTTCTCAGCCATGTAGAGTATTTGCGAAGCATGTGTAAACGCAGGGTCTAAATTCTGTGGATTCCAGCTAAGACCATACCATATGGCCTCCTTATAGTACTCCAACCATGTGGTCAGAGTGAAGAGACGAATCAGTGTGATGTATACAGGATTTCAGGGGGAACGGAGCCATAAACTGTTCAAGTGCCGGTAATTTGGCTGAGATAACGACGTATACGTAGGACCTTATTTTTACTTATCGGATAGGCCTTGTGCTTAACTATGGGTTGTACCCTGTTCCAGTCCACCTGGTAGTGTATGCGGCAGTCAGTGTTGTGACGGGTGGGACCAAGTTGGGGACACCTGCGGTAAGTGTGGTGATGCACTGTCACGAAGTTTTCTTATGTGTAAACAATCCTGTTTTCAGTACGTACTGGGTCGAAATTGGCTTCGATCTCAACCACATCCTTTCTTGAATATCCCTTCAACTTTAGTAAGGCCATGTTGATTTGATTATATGGATGACATCCGCGCGCGCATTAATTTTCGGCCGTTTCAAAAAAAAGTTTTCAACCATACTGTAAATCGTACAAAACAGTTGCAAAATGAGCAAAAATATACCGTAAGTTACAAAAAAAACCATACAAATGTCGTAGAATGCCAAAATCAAACGAAAACAGGCGAAATTGTAAAGAAATGAACTTGAAGACTAGATTTTTCGCCAAACCATATTCTGTCCCATTTGTTTAACCCTCATGACCACGTAGATTTCATAATGAAAACAACTTTTTTTTTTGCAAAACTTTTTTTTTATTCGCACGCGCGCATCAATTTTGGGGTTCCCGGAGAATGTTATCCATATAATCAAATCAACATGGCCTAAGCAGGGCTTGCGACCAGCCTGCTTTTGCTTGGACATCTTAAAACGTTTAGTTTCCATTTCTTTGCCTTCCTATTATAAAGATATTAACTATGAGTTCCCTTGCTGCTCAATTCAGTCCACTGCTACTACCCATGTATACACGGCACCTGTGTGGACACTAACGTCTGTGAGTGTGAGCCTGAGTGGGAAGGACACGATTGCAGTTATGGTGAGGTCTAGTTACTGTGTAGTCAGTCTTTTCATCCAAGCGTTTACCTCTAAGTGAGCATAAAGGAAGGTTTCTGGGTCACCGCTCAGGGGGAACTTAGAGGAGGAAGTCTTCCTCATGAACAAAACGGTTGTTCCCATTTTCAAGAAAAGCATTATATATATAATTTGAAGGCCGGGGCTTTTCTCTGAAAAACAGAAACCTTCACTCTTTGATGTAGATGTTTCCCTGAAACCACCCGCGTTCTTCTGTAAGTTTTTTTTTAATTGCAGGGTAAAACAAAGAAAATGATCGAATAATGAACACTCAACCACTGGGAAAAAATAATCAATCTGCATGCTATAAGATTTTTGAATTAATAATTTCACAGACGTAGACGAGTGTTGGTAGAACCATTTCCCGACATTTCCCCCAGATATTGATGAATGCTGGTACGGGCATCACGCCTGTCACCACAACTGTCACAACAACGATGGATGTTACACCTGTTTCTGTGATGTCGGCTTCCAGCTCATCAACTCTACACACTGCGTCATCTCTCCAACCTCCGACATCAGCAGTACTCCGGCGGGCCTTCCTTAACGGGCTACGGAGATTTCTGCACACCGTGTCACAGCTATAACAACAACTGTGGGCAGGGCAACAGCACAAACTACACATAGAATCACCGACACCACAGCTAGCGGTTTGCGTACAACCCCCATGGTCGCGACGACACCACAGCCACTACCACTGTCAACAGGGTAACAACAAACCGTTCACGAAGAACCACCGATGCTAAAGTTAGCAGTTTACGCACAGATTCCACGGCTACTTTACCAACAACAAGAACAACAGCAACAGCTACTACAAGCTCTTCACAGAGAAACACTAGGATCACCTCTAGAGGTTCACACACACACACGTTCTACAGCCACAGCAACTGTGGAGAGAACAACGACAAACCCTCCACAGACAACCACCGAGACCGCGGATACAAGTTCCACAGCCACAACTACAGCTTCCGTTACAACACTGAGGACCACACGAGCTAACGATAGGTACTCATTTCAATATCTGTCCCACCATGTTCCATATTGTGATTTTTCCACCATCTTTAGCTACTCTTGCTCCTAATCAATTTTTTAATACCTTTGACACGGAACAAGAGAAAGTTTGTCCTATTTTAGGAGCACGAGGCAGACCCCTAACCCTTCCCGTGCGTACTAGCATGGTACCGCCGGCCACTACACCTAGCGCGGACGACAATGGCAGAAGTTCAGGTTAGTGTTATAGGGTGGAATTGGTATTCTCTTTCATTTTTCATCTGCCTTGGATCACTTTATCTGCCTCTGTCTCTTTCTCTCTCTAGCCCTTTTGCCCTCTTGCTCGCTCACCCATCCACTCACTCATTAACTCCCTACTCACTCATTCACCCACCTACTCATTCAGTCACTCATACATTCACTTATTTTCTCAGTCACTCATTGTCTCACTCATTCACTGACTCATTCAGACACTCACCCATTCAATCACTCATTCACTCACTCGGCCACTCACTCATTCACTGACTCATTCAGACACCCATTCAATCACTCATTCACTCACTCACTCACTCACTCAGTCATTCACTCACATAATGCCTAGTAGGTTAGCGTCAGTGTTGCCAAAAGTTTTCACATTTACTGACATGTACTGGTATTGTAACGCCTCTGTGTGTTGCAGGAGGGCCTGACCACATAAACGTCAGCCTGGTGATCGGGGTAGCAGTCGGCGCGGGGGCGGTGAGTCTGCTATTCATCTCAGTCGCCATTCTTATCTACTGCGCCAGGAGGAAGAAGCCAGCAGAAACAACAGCCCGCCAACAGTTCGCAAACTTACCACAACAACCCCGCGGCTCCCTCCCCGACTACAGCGACACGCACTGGCGAAATCCAGCTTTCGACAACCTGTACGAAGAGATTCCCGAAGTGCGTAGCCCTCCTCCCCCGTATGAAGCAGCAGGGGGCCGCCAAGCTTCAGACGGCTTTACGGCTGTAGCCGAAATGCCCAGTTGTGGACTAACAGATACGAAGGGTGTGGGCCTTCCGGACGTTGGTATTTCACTCGCAGGTGCCACTCCTGTAGTTCCAAAGTGGAAAGAATATTTCCAGTACTCTGTGTAACTTGCATGTCGATATTCAGAAAGCGCCGCCACAACCGGACGATGGTTATGAACCGCTAAAGAAGGTTCCTGGCCATGAGTATGAGAGCCTCAAGCGATTGTGAAGTGTAGGCTGTTTAAGTGATACGTTTGTCATTTTATCAACAGTTCAGTGTCCGTAAGTAGTGAAAATGTAGGATTGTAGCAATAAGCGATACATTATACTACATATCGCTCAAAGGAATGTTCTCTTTTGTTTTTATTCACAAGGTGTGCCTACAACTGACACAATAATAATAATAATAATAATAATAATAATAATAATAATAATAATGCCTATATGCACAGGCCAGGCACTGGCCCCTTGCTCCCCTCTGTCAGCAATAATCATAATAAAAAAGCCTGCAAAATTATGCTGCAATCGAAATCATGGTTCAGAGGTCAAATAATATGTCTAAAATGAGAGTAATAATTGATGTACTTGTCCAATCAATGGAAAATTGAAGTAACAAAACAGTAAACAGATATTTGAAAGATATTTGTTGTGTTTGTAGTGCATCTAACAACGTCCTAGCTTCGAGTTGTAGCATGGCCAGGAGAATTGACGCAAGACTCCGAGTATTCGTATGCCAGATAATGTGAATATTGCCATTTTATGTTCATTAAATATGTATAACATAAACCATCCTCAGTCTCATAATTAGTCTGCCTCAAACAAAGCTGGATCAGACCTGATTTTCTCCCTAAGATTCTGTTTATTCAATAGCATAAGGGTGACAAACATCTACATGACGATTGTATCCCTTGTCTGAATCTGATAGCTCCTTGGATCTTCATATACTCCTTGGATCTTCATAACATTTAGGTGTGAGTAGAAAACACTTCTTTCTTTAGTGAAATTGTTGCATTAAAATGCAAATTATTGGGAATGGCAGGTGGCAGTTACCTTTTCGGCAAGAAATTATATACCCGGGTTATTCTTTATTTATTTATATATGGATGGTTTATTTCAAATGAACAGCTGGCAGCACACATTGCTGAATTGTGTGTTCTTACATGTACATGGATCATAAATAACACTTGCACAGTATAATATTGTCTAGAACCATAATCAAAATATTCAATTAGAGAAAATCTATGGTATTGAGACCGACGTATTGGTACACAATATATGGAAGATTTGAATGAAAAACGTACGAGATTTAAAGGTTGTACGAGATGTAAAGTGTTCTCTTAGAACCTTAACACTAGTTGGGCCAGGTAGAAGACTGTAATTATACATTGTATATAAATGGGGACTATGTCAGCACACAACATTCCTCCCCTCCAGGATTTCAAAGACCATTTTTCAGACAGTGACTCCAAGGCTTTCTCACGATTTTAAAGACTGCCTACCTAACACGGCGGTACGGTCTGTCACTACGGCATTCTTTCCCATTGCTGGGGGCGTTCTAAAAAGTATCAGGTTACAAGACGCTATTTTGGCCTGTTTTGGACTTCCCGTAAAACACTTGAAAATAAACAAAAAGGATTTAATGGTAAATTTCGTCAAATTAAAATGAAATTATTGCCTTAACATCCTTTTAACATTACCTGTTTATGTTAAATCATTGATTTTAAAAATTTCGCTCCGAAAGACGATTTTTTCGGGTTTCGACCACAAGTCATGTCATGTTTTTAGGCAAACATCGTTTAAACCTGGCTACAGATATTACCCCAGATCCCCGATTTTTATATTTTTCGACGACTAGGAATAAGATCCAAAATTGTGTTTTAGGGATTTTTTTTAATTTAAGATTTTAAGTCTAGTTCTTTTTTTCGACATATTGGTGAAAAACATGATTTTTTTTTACATTTTTCGCACTAAATTATCCACAATTCAAAATTTCCAATTTTTTCAAAAAAACCCTTAAACATGATGATTTTCGCTACAACCGTAACGGTCATTTTGAGCCGTGAATGGGGTATATTTGACGCTCAATTCTTGCAGGTTTTAACGAGTTTTGCAGACATGTCATGTCGACCAAAAGTCTGCATTGTGTTATTCATACTGGCGTAAAGAATCATTACAGTATTCAAGGTCACCCAAGGATACGACAGTAGCTTTGCTACATGTTACATGTCCGCAAACAAATGATAGCGGACATGTGTTGTCCAGGAAACTGTTTGTATTTATAGAAAAGTGTTTTTTTTTATCTGTTGCATGGCACGGAGGCAGAAGGGCTTGTTTTGCCACTTTGTTGTAAATGACCGCAGGTGACCCCGAAATAGAACGCGGGTTAAATGCGAATTGCCCAAATCGAACACGACCGAACACAGTTCGGGTTCTATGACATGTGGGAACTTTGCAGCCCAGATTTTACCACCGTATAGCCAGGAAAGTTGACGCAGGGCTCCGAGTATTCGTATGCCAGATAATGTGAATATAGCCATTTCATGTTCATTAAATATGTATGACATCAACCATTCTCAATCTCATAATTAGTCTGCCTTATACAGAGCTGGATCAGACCGGTTTTTCTCCCAATAGGCCGGTTTATACATAGCACAAGCCTAGGGTGACAAACATCTAGTAAATGACGATTGTATCCCGTGTCTGAATCTGATAGCTCCTTGGATCTTCATATATTCTTTGGGTCTTCATAATATTAAGATGTTAGTAGAAAACACTTCTTTCTTTCACGGCGGTCTGTCACTACGGCTTTCTTTCCCATTGCTAGGCGCGTTCGTAAAAGTATCGGGTTACAAGACGCTATTTTGGCCTGTTTTGGACTACCCGTAAACATTTGAAATTAAACAAATAGTATTTAGTGGTAAATTTCGTCAAATGGAGATGAAGTTATTGTCTTAACCTCCTTTTAATGTTAGCTTTTTATGTTAAACCATTGCTTTTTAAATTCCACTCAGAAAGACGATTATTTTTGGGTTTCCGAGCACAAGTCATGCCATGTTTTCAGGCATACCTAGTTCAAACCTGGCTACGTATATTACCCCGGATCCCCGATCTTTGTATTTTTCGACGACTAGAAATCAAAAATCGTGTTTTAGGGATTTTTTTAAATTTCTGATTATAAGTCTAGTTTTTGTCAACATATTGGTGAAAAAATTGCATTTTTTGACATTTTTCTCACTAATTTACCCATAATTAAAAATTGAGACGATTTTTGAAAAATCCCTAAAACACGATTTTCGGGACAACCGTGACAGTTATTTTGAGCCGTAAATGGGGTATGCTTGACTCTCCATGCTTGCAGGTTTTAACGAGTTTTGCAGACATGTCATATCACCCGAAAGTGTGCATTGTGTTATTCATACAGGTGTAAAGAATCATTACAGTATTCAAGGTCACCCAAGGATACGACGGTAGCTTCGCTACATGTTACATGTCCACAAAAAATTATAGCGGACATATACTGTCCTGGAAACTGTTTGTATCTATAGAAAAGTGTAGTTTTTTATCTATTGCGAGGCACTCAGGCAGAAAGGCTTGTTTTGCCGCTTTCTTGTAAATGACTGCAGGTGACCCCGAAATGGAACGCGGGTTCCATTCGAATTGCCCAGATCGAACACGATCAAACACAGTTCGGGTTCTATGAAATGTGGGAACTTTGCGGCCCAGATTTGACCACCGTGTTTAGTAAAATTGTTACATTAAAATGTAACTTATTGGGAATGCCAGGTGGCAGTTACCTTTTCGGCAAGAAATTATATACCCGGGTTATTCATAATTTATCTATATATGGTTGGTTTATTTCAAATGAACAGCTGTCAGCCCACATGGCTGACTTGAGTGTTCTTACATGTACATGGATCATAAATAAAACTTGCACAATATAATACTTCTACAACCATATAATCAACATATTCAATTAGTGAAAATCTATGGTATTGAGACTGACGTGT